TGGTTTAAATGCTGATCGTCTTAATGAGACCCAGGTGTCTCATCTGTTGAGGGCGTGGGCTGAGGGCGTGAACCCACAATGAGAGAGAGAGAGCTGATCAGCGTGCAGCTAATCCGCCTGGCCGTGACACCCAATGGATTTACTTTGCCAAATGGATCATCACGGCCTTGCCGTATTGGTCAATTTGATCTACCTTTGTTGTTATTGTTTATTTTATTTTATTTTCAGTTGTTACAGACGGGACAGACATGACTGGGGGATAGGAAAGGGAGAAAAAAGATGAAGGAAAAGAAAAACAGAAGGGAAGAGGGACAGTGAGAAAGGGCACTTAAAAAGAGAAAGAAGAGAAAAAAATCTCCTGGATCATCTGTTGAGAGAAAAAGAAGAGAAAACAAGCAAAAAACCCAGAGCAACATACTAAACACAACACCATCACGTTAATCTAGCTAAGTGTAAACAGCAGTAAATACTAAATATTGAATGTTGTTATGTAGCAAGCAGGACCAACAGTGCACAATGTGCTTGGAAATAGCAGCCAATAGAGGTGTAGTTTATGTCTATGAAGAGTGAACACCTGTGTGCACACCTGTGTGGATCAGCATGCTTGTATTCAAAAGGTTTCCCCATGTAATGGTCTGCTAGAGGATGTAGAGAGCCATAGCCCCGTCCCCCAGGGCATGAAGCAGGCATGGAGGAGATCCAAGCTCCAGACATCCAGAGGCCCTAGAGTGCGAGAGCCCAAGGAGGACCACCGGAGGCGCATCGTGCCACCCTCCTGGGAAGAGCTGAGGAGAGCCCCAGATAAGGGGTTACCCAGTAGCCACCGAGCAGAAGCCAGAGGGGGCTGCAGTGGCGTGCCCGCCGGCTCTGCTGGTGGCCAGCTGTGCCAGAGTGAACCGAGCTGCAGGCCCAGGGGCCCGAGGGCCCCCTTTGCCCCAGAAGAGGCCTGACCAGGCAACAGGCACCAGGCCCTGCCAAATAGTCACGGGGAGTGAGCTGGTACATACCTGAGCGCCCAGTCCCGGACACCAAGAACCACCAACGCACCAACCCCTGAGGACATCAGTTACCGGCAGGGAGTGTGGTGAGGGGAGATAGGCCTCCATACTTTGGAGGGCCTGGGAGTTCCCAGAGAGGTGGAGTGTAAGACCCAACCTGACATATAAACACAGACAAACAGGCACACACAGACACAAACATGCATTCCCACTCTCATGCACACATATACAAATACTCAGCACTCACCCAACGTAGGGATAGACATACATGGACACTGTACACACAAACACACTCCCCAAACAAATTCTATACCCCAGGTCCAGGTACCCTCGCCCCTGAAGGGGGAAACGGCACCTACACCCAGAAGATGTTACCCTTTCCCCCGGGGTGGAGGCAAGCAGACCGCCCCAGGCTCCACAGCAGCAGGGAGGCCCACCAACAAGGACCTAAGCCCCCAAGGCCCAGCCAGAGCCCTAGCACGGAGGCGAAGCACCCCCGAACCCCAAGCCCCCACGCCTGCCCGGATCCACTCAGGGGCAGCCAGGCTACCAGGCCAGTAACCTACGTCCGCCAGCACAGACCCTCCCCCAGCCCTGCTGCACGCAGCCACAAGGAGAACACCCTCTAAGAGCAACCAGAGCCACTAACCAGGTTATGACCACAACCCCTGGGTTAGGCCCTCCAGGGATAACGTCTCTAGGGATTCTCCAGACGCCCCAAGCCTGTCCCTACCTCCACATCAACCACAATGGCGAAGGCGGGACCAAACCACAACCCCCCACCAACCTGCCAGAGGGTCTGCAGATGGAAATTAGCCTAAGGCTATAATCTGGCATATTTACATTTGTTAAAATGTTCATTAATATATATTGTCCCTCTTTCTAAGTAAATAAATTACAAATTACAGTGTTTACATGAAACTCGCACTTCTCTGCTTTGGCAAGAAGGCATTTTTCCAAGAATCGTTGCAATACTAGTTTGACATGTTTTTCATGTTCTGTCACTGACCTGGAGAAGATGAGGATAACATCTAGGTAGACCAAATTGAAGTGGTTGATGAAGTCTCTGAGGATGTCATTCACGAGAGCTTGGAAGACTGCTGGGGCATTTGTTAATCCAAACGGCATGACAAGACATTCAAAATGCCCCAAGTGAGTGTTGAAGGCTGTCTTCCAGTCGTCCTCCTCCCTAATGTGAACCGAATGATAAGCAGCACAGGTCAAGTTTACTGAAGATCTTCATCCCGTGGAAAAGCTGAAAAGCAGACTTCAGCAGTGGTAGTGGGTATTTATTCTTGCCAGTGATGGCATTCAAGCCTCGATAGTCAATGCAAGGCCTGAGGGATTTATTTTCTTGTTAATGAAAAAGAATCCCACTCCTAAAGGAGAGGTAGACGGCTGAATGATCTCCGCATCCAGTCAGTTGGTAATGTATTCCTCCATGGCTTCTCTTTCTGGCTGGGACAGGCTATAGAGCCGGCTGGTGGGCAGTGGAGTTCCAGGTAACAAATCAATCATTAGGCCAGTTTGGGGGGAAAATGAGCACGATCCTTATTAAACACCTCCGCCAGCTCATGGTATACCGCAAGATCCGGAGGAGTCAGTGGGGGTGATGCTGGTTATTAAAGAGTCAAGAGATGACAGCAAATATCTTGTCATAAGCTTGTCCTTGAAATCTTCCAAAATATTGTTAAGCAAAACTCCCTTCACTGTCTCTACACGCTACTCAGTCTCTACAGCTAGAAAGCGGACGTCAATTGAGAAATCAGCCATAGTGCGTTTTCCTTGCTTTAGATTTAATAAACACTGCGCCGCAGCCACAGGGCTGACATCCGCCTTTGAATTTAAACAGGAACTTGGGGTAGGAGATATTCAGGTGTGTTTTCTGGAGCGCGTGATCCCATAGCAGCTGAGCAAAGAAGGCGATCCAGGCATCGTCACTGGCATACGCTCTGCTGGCAAAAAACAGAGAGAGTTGGGTAAGAAAACCAGTACACTTCTCCAGCTCACCTGCGAACGGCTCAGGGCTCTGCATCGTTCTCCCTTGGGTTTCCAACAAGGTGGTGGTGTGGCCACAGCCTGGGGGCGCGGAGAATGAGAGGGAGTAACACTCAAAGAAGATGGGGTTACCAAGGGGGTGCACCTGGCGAGAGCATGTGTGTGGGTGGAGATCTCTTTATTAATGGAGGAGCATCTTCTCATGCCGCTTCAGCAGGTGAGGAGAGTCCGTTGAACAGGGTCAGAGTCCACTGAGTCCATCTTGGCTGGATCATTCTGTCACTATTTGTTTGGTAAAGGACTCTATCACAGGACTCAGAAGCTTAGAGAAAAGATAAAGGGTTTATTTATCCCTTTAAGGCCTATTGGAGCGGCCACATTCTATTTTGCGTAACTATTTTTAAATCCCGGTAGAACTGCAACCACATAAGCTAGCGAAATAATTTGTTTTGCATATGAAACCGGAGGAGTTGTACTTACATCTTATGCCAACAGCTTGTCCTAGGTCACAGTTTCCTTCCACATATAGCTTTGCAAAAACTGCATAAAAAGCACTTGCAGCAACAAAAACATAATATTCCAGAAACATGCTTTGCCGATCCAGTCAGCTGTTCGACACACTTCCTACATTGGAACAGACGTCAGCGTGAACTATCGCATTTCCGCCATCTCAAAATTAAAACCATGAAGATACACAAAATAAATTTCCTGTGGTTGAAAACTACTTTGTGCATCTTTTTTTATATTTACAATTTTGAGGTATAAACCTCTGAAATTTCTAGAACTAGAAATATGTTTGAAAAAAACAAAAAACAAAAATGATTTAAATTTTGTTTGTAGTTTAATGCACTTTTTTTGCCTTTTATGTAAAAAAATGGACTTAATCCATTCATATTATAATGTATGTAATTACTATGCACTTAATGCATACATATTATTAAAATTTGGGCTATAATGGTTGTATTGATGTATAGCAACTTGAAATGCTTCCAACAATGGCACTAGAGCATGTAAAATTATAAAGATAAGCTCTGGCGCATTTGGTTCTTTGTAGGTCTTAAAGGGTTAAAAGTTACACTGACTCTAGTTACTACAACAATCCAGCGAGGAAGTAGTCTCCTGCCGTCTTAAGTAGTCTGCCAAGGTAATCACTCATGATGTGACGCCAGAGTAGGATTTGTGTGAAAGAGCAACAGGTGTGCGGGTTCAGAGGTGGGGAAGCAAAGTCCAACTCCACCCTGGTGGGAGAGGCGAAGGCAAAAAAAACAAACCTCAACAAACACATTCTCTGGATGCTGAGAAACATGACACAAACTGAACCACCAAGGACTTCATGTAGACTCCAAGGCCCTTGAATGTTTAATAGGTTGAAAAATATTTGTGCTTTACTGAAAAACGATTAATTAAAATTGATTACATGATTAATATCCTCCCCTATCATTTACAGCTCGTCTGACAGTGAATTTAAACAGGACTCAGCTGTTTGCTGATGAGTTTGTGTCTCTCAGCTGTAAGGATGACAACAGCTCTGCTGGATGGACTCTGAGAAGGAACACAACTACAGAGACAAGAACAAAGTGTGGATCTGGATTTGGAAAACCAGCTGGTTCTTCGTGTGACATAATCTACTTTGACCAACTCGACAGTGGAGTTTACTGGTGTGAGTCCAGAGAGGGTCCCATCAGTAACATGATTAACCTGACAGTCGCTGGTAAGCTGAGTGTGTGGAGTTAGTGTTGATGAAGCTGTGTGTAAATGGATGAAATGCTGTAGTTTGTCTCTGTGTTGAGGTGGATCAGTGATCCTGCAGAGTCCTGTCCTCCCTGTTATGGAGGGAGATGACGTCGCTCTCCTCTGTAAAACAAAGACCACTCCCTCCAACCTCCCAGCTGCTTTCTATAAAGATGGCGTCTTCATTGGGAAAGAGCCTACAGGTCACATGACCATCCAGCATGTTTCCAGGCCTGATGAAGGCCTCTACAAGTGTGACATCAGCGATCATGGAGAGTCTCCATCCAGCTGGATCACTGTCACAGGTGACACACTCACCTGTCTGTGTTTCTGGAGGTTTCAACATTCGCAATGTGACGATAACTTGATAATGACTGTGTTTGATTTATTTTAGAAAAACCCACCACCACACTTCCGCCAACATCCACCTCCATCACTCTTCCTCCATCACTCTCTCCTCCTGTTCTCTCTGTCTTGTCATGTGTTGGATCAGTCTGTGTTGTTGTTCTACTGGTGTTACTGGTTCTGCTGGTAAGACGATGTGTTCACAGGAAACCTGAAGGTGAGACTCTGATTTCCTAATCTTTCATGTTTGAGTTTGTTTGATGATTTTCCAAGTGTAATTTTGTTTTGCTGAATAATCTACACATTTCATGCATATCATTCTCCACTCCTCTTCTTCATCTGTTGCTGACTGTTACATCAGTCTGTGCTGTGATGCTGAGATGACGTGTTCACGGAAACCTCAAAGGTGAGAATCGGACTTCAGGATTTTACATGTTTACTTTTTTAAGTTGATTTTTAACCGTGGTAATATATTCTTCAATTTTTTTTTTCTATTTTAAAAATTTTGCTTCATTTCAGGTAAACAAGTAGGAGCTGGATAAAACGACATCACCAGTCACATTAAGCATGTTCACTGTCTATAAGGACATTTTTTGTCAATAATATTATTATATTAAGGCAGCACGGTGGCACGGTGGTTAGCACTGTTGCCGCACAGCAAGAAGGTCCTGAGTTCAATTCCACCATCAGGCCGGGGTCTTTCTGTGTGGAGTTTGCATGTTCTCCCCGTGTTTGCGTGGGTTCTCTCCGGGTACTCCGGCTTCCTCCCAC